GTTGATCGAACGGCATGGCTCGGCCATGCAGGCGTGGTCTCTGCTGAATGTTACCTTATATCTTCTTTTCATATTAAATATATTGTTCTTTCTCTAGCCTAACCTTGTTCTACATCATGTATTGGTAATTGATGCGATACAGTGAGTTGGTGTAGTTGATGGTGTGACTTCCACGTAAGATCTTATAGATTAGGCAGTCATATCATGACAAATCCACAGATTTAGGATTAGGTTTATTATTAGAGTAGTACTAATATCATAGTAGACCATAAGTTCTACACTTCAATCTGCATACAGGAGGTTAGTAGCATTGTCCAATCTGGTAGATACACGTAGGAATTCTAGAATATTCTTCCGAAAGGTGATTGGATGGAATATCTTCGGCTCCTTCTGAGCCTCCTACAGCTTCCTAGAGTTCACCCGTGGCCTACCGTCATACCTCTCTCCACTAAAGTCTGTTGTGTAAAACGTTTTTCCCGGATCCATCTGAAACTTGGTTGCCGCATTCCTTTTGCAGTCCATCACTCTCGAGGGTTGTGCTGCTTTTCCTTTGCGTCATTTTTCTCTTCTGTGTTTGCGTTCCTGAGGGTTTTTCTGAAATGAATCCACGAGAAATCGAAATGGCAGTCGGCTTTTTGGGACAATTGTACTGCCGTCTCTTTGCATTTGATTTATGTGTCTTATGCATTTTCCGACACTTTTCCGGAATAGGTACAGTACATTTCCGATTCGACGTCCTATGACACCTGGTTCCTACTTCCTATTACCTTGATACGATTTGACAAGTACCTTTTCACCCACCTGAAAGCTTCAAGTGACCGTACAATACTCATTCGTGAAGTTATTTGTCTTTCTAGGTGGCAACATACTGTTAAAGACTGTCCGGAGTTTCCTCCCGAACATACACTCGGCTGGTGACTTTCCTTCTGATACTGCCGGATTAGAGCGTACTTGGTACGACATAAAGAATTTACTTATCACTTGATCTGGGATTCCCTCAACTCGCTCTTTGACCAGAGCTCTTTTTATCGTATCCACGAATCTTTCTGCCTGGATATTCGACTGAGGATGGTACGGAGGAGATTGTTGATGCGATATGCCATTATCACTGCAAAAGCGTTTGAAAGCGGATGAGATAAACTGAGTACCGTTGTCGACCACTAAGATCCCCGAAACAAGAAAACAATCCTGACAATTTTCTTATTGTGCACTCTGATGTCGTCTTCGGCATGTCATATACTGCTGACCATTTTGTGAAAGCATAGACAACAACTAATTACTTTCTGCCTTGAATTGGCCCGGCGAAATCAGCGTGTATTATTTTGCCAAGTACCATCCGGTTTTGGCCATAGTTGTAATTTAGCTTTCGTTGGATTCTTCGCAGCCTTTAGACGGGACCAACAACTGCGACATTTTTGTTCTATATCATGGTCCGTTGACAGCTAGTATACATAGCTGCGGGCTGGTGATTTCATTTTACTTATCTTCGGGTGCCCGCTGTGGAACTGCTTAATGACTTGGTGTCGAAGATTTCTGAGGATAACGATACGGTGGCCAAACATGATGCACAAATCGACAAATGTCAATGAATCTCGTCTACGAAAATAACGTAAGAGCTCTCCATTTAGTCTAGATGAAGGCCATTTGTTGAATATGCAGCGGCGAACAACTTTCAACGTATTGTTCTTCTCAATAACTTTTTTAATGGCTTCGAATGTGACCGGGAGTCCGGAAACTGCGTCTGACAGTACTTTGTGAACCTAAGCCTCAACGTCTATGGCAGCTACAAGAACCTCCTCCTCTTGTTTTGCATGCGAACCAATCAATCTTAAGAGGGCATCTGTCTGTCCAAAATCCGTTTTCGGTTGGTACTGTATCTTGAAATTATAGCCCAACAGTGTAGTTTCCCGTCTCCGTAGACGGTTTACTGTATATATAGGGACACCTTTCTTAGATACAAAAACTGTCAGTAACAGTTTATGGTCTGTTAGCAAGGCAAACTGTCTGCCAAACAGCATCTTGTGGAACTTATTTACAGTAAATATAATGGAGAGGGCTTTTTTCTCTACCTGATTGTAGTTCCTTTCGGTCGTAGCCAGTGATCTTGCAGCGTGGGCGATCGCCTTCTCAGACCCGTCTGGGAAGGTATGTGAAATTAGGGTACCGAACGTTTTGGTCTGAAGACGGGGGTGGCTCCTGGTTTAAGAATCAGTAGTCTTTTTACCTTTTGTACTCCTCCAACTCTTCCGTAAGCATTTGACTATGTCTTTCCAACACAAGACCCATCAGATCCTTATCCACTGGTTTATTTGTTCTCACGGCGCTGAATATGTGGTGAATGGAGTGATTTGCTAATTGTAGTGTTTCTATTAGGTCTAGACCCAGTAAATCTAGTGCTGGGTTCTCTGTGAGATATAGCGTTGCATCCGTCCTCGCGTTTCCTTTTGAAACTGTACAACAAACCTCTCCAACAATATTTAATTTCCCTTCAGATGCATTATGAGCTAACTGGATTGTTAGGACCACATGTGATTTTCCGATAAGATTCTAGGTTCTTCGACTAATAAGTGTGATGTCGGAAGCAGTGTCGACCTGCAGGTTGGTGCGCTTTTTATTTATATCTAAGTTTTCATACTTTTGTTGGCGGTAAATTTGTGCTCGATTATGTGATGTCAATATTTTGTTAGTTAGAGCAGTATATCTGTATTTCTTGGAGTAGGGTTTCGAGGAATGTCGTTTATGGGTTCTCTTCCTGTAGCTCCTTATGAGCCTTCTACAGCTTCCTCGAGTTCACGCGTGGTCCGTCATCACATTGGCAGAATCTTGTCAGTTTCGTGAAGTTGGTACTCTTTATTGATCAATTGAAAGCAAGTGTAATGTTCGTACAAGACACGATCCAAAACTATATCCAGAGTTTGCACATACAATAGGAAGTTTATATTCATACTGTTGCAAAAAATTACCAAGACAATATGGTGAATTCTATACATAGTGCATTACTTTTTTGCGTAACCGGGTAATGGGATTGTCAGCGATGGGCTACGTCGGGGAATGCACGTCCATATGTTACATACATGTTGCAACATGAGTATTTTATGAATAACTTGCAATCACTCACTTCTATTTATCTTTCGATGAAGAAATGAGTCAGTACCAAACAGCTAGTATACATCCTTTATCTATGTTTATAATCATAGGTATATGTAATAAGCGTCTGAGTTCTACTGACTTTTGAAGTGAAAAATGTTTTTCCAAACCCATCCTATGAGCATACTTGCAGAAGTGAAGATGAAAAAAGGGTTGTTAGGTTGCGAATAGCAAACCACTAGGAGCAAATAATAGATGCAGATTCTGATCTTTGACGTAAGAGCACAGATAAAAATCCTTGGTCAGCGTTTTTTTCAATAGTCAAGCAAATTGATGTCAAAACTAGAGCCTTACTCGTGTATACCGAAACAAAATATAGGCGAAGTAAGCTTACTGATGGTGGGAAGTAACTGCTGTGTGATTTCTAAGTATTTCAGTAATACCTACTTTCACCTTGTAATTAGATATACCAAGTCCAGGGTTGCATTATTTGGTAAACGGTCTGGATGACCAATCACATATACGTCAACCTAGTGAACTTTAAACATCAACGTGAACCAAAATCCCTGTTTCATTTTCACACAGTGACCCGAGACTGCACAGTATACTCTCCCTACTGTAATGCCGTGAGAACAAGCCGGTAGCCATGTAAATGAATTTATCTAAGACTTCTACATCAAAATATTTCTGTGGTGGTTATAGAGACAAATAATTAAACCTCCACAAATTATATATTTGGTTTGTGCATACAAAATATGACCGCATGGCGACACGTAGTCGTCGAAACGCTCAAAAGCACACAGTCCATGTTAAGTATCAACAACAACATACATAATGCCCTTTTCGTAGCAGCGGATGTATTCTCCTGCCATTACTTCGTCTTTCATTCGCCTAGCTTATTCATGATTTACTGCTGCACTTTTAGCTGCGAAATTTGCGAGCACATTTAAGAGTTTGAAGTGACATTAGAACCACAAGTTTTGGAAAACTTCACGAGCTCCCAATTTTGAGGGAGAATTTGACCAGTTTTGGGGAAGTCTCCATGGGGGTTTTGTGCCATTTCCCCAAAGTTTACTATAGCGGCTTCCACAAAATTTTCCCAAAATGGGTCAAATTTTCCCCGAAATTGAGAGCTCTGGCGGGATTACTGAACTGCAGCAAATAATTTGTACAGTTAATCCTTACCACCCTGAAAAATGCTATTTAGACATAGAAGGAACACAGAATTATGTCGGTATGACTGTGCATATTCTGTACCACGGAAGTTTTAGTCGCTGCCGAATCCATAACGTGTATCGTAAGTACCACATGGTTTCTTTGAAGTATTTGAGTAATCTTACGACGTCTTCCCATAACGCTGTGCTCTTGCCCAAGACTATTATTAACTGTCAGCTTGAATAGTGGAAAACTTTAAGATGAGGTTATTATGTGTTACTTAACCAACTTTGTTGGACCGGTAAGTAGCAGTACTGTGTTTACGCCCATAAGTACAAACACATCTGATAAATAAACCTTACGGTTGGGCCATCTTTGTTCTTTCTGAATACTGAAATGATATACTTAGTGTGCGTATACTATACAATGAACTATCAATCACAGAAGTCATATTACCTTATGTACTCCTTTCTGCTATAAGACCTACCTTGGCAGGTCTCAAAATTGTCCCGATGACATATGTCATCATTGAAGATTCGTCCCATATCATGCATCACTAAGATGGCATCACTTTCGTTACTTGAAGGATGAACGTTACCACATACAGTGTGGCTGAACTCAAATCAAATTTAAAACTCTTGAGTTGAACGCTTCTGTAAAATCTTACGAATTGTCGAGGTGACGCATCAATCGTTTTACGACAGTTTGACCTTCAATCACGTCCTTCATTCGATGAAACCAGTGGACCGTTACTCGACATGGTTCGTTGGTTATTTCATTGTTTTATATAGGTGTATATTACTGGGTTATGATTATTACATCGTGTTAATTCGATTTTCTTTGAAATTTACTCACATTTATCTGCAGATTTTGGTACAGGTTGGTTAATCCAGGGAAAGTTTTCCAACACATGGGTTGGAAGTTGCAACTTCCTAAATCTTTAAAGTTTGTTAAATTTCTGACTGATTCGTATATTTTCTCTCGGAATTTGGGTTCTTTTCAAACAGATTGTAACTTTGGGGCTATTTTTGTGAGTATATCAGGGTAAATGCTTTGTAATGGATTAACCTGTACAAACGAGTCTTAAAGTTTGTTTATCATTAGAATGGTCCTAAACAACTAATAAAGGCAAACGAATGAGAAATGAACAGGAAAATATGTTGGAAAATAAAGGGGAAGGACGAAGAAACACCAAAATGTCTGCTTTATCACCTGTCAGGAGGAAATAATTCGGATTTTTCTCGTTTTGTCGCTGTTTCACATGTCGCCAAATTGTCTACTTCCCGCCTAACTACACTCCGACTTGTCTACTTTTGGTCTGAATTTCTAACTCACCTTTTACCCGACCCCGGATGTCTCCTATGTTCGCCTTAATTTCCACAACATACCACATGACAACTGTAATCGACGTTAAATATGGCACATCTTTAAAGGAAATTATTTTTAAAAAACTATATTGTACTATATTATTGATAGACAAACGCTCGATCAGCGATCGTTATGTATTTACATTGTAAGTACCAAGTTTTATTGTAATTTGCGAAGATCTGCAAAAGAACAGGTTATTGGTTACTGATTAGGCATGTGTACTTAATTATAAATGCATCTAAGACCAAACAGGATTTCTCAACAATCACTCAAAGAGTTTCACATGCAAGTTAGAATATAAGCGCATGCTGAGAAATGCTTATTAAAAACGAAGTTGTATATGAAAAATATTTCACTGGCAATGTCTATCAAACGGCTGTTTGACTACTACGAAGCAGTGATCTTCCTGTGAATTCTGAAATTTAATAAACACAAAATATTACAGCTATTTCTAACTGCCATAGTTTTTTAAGCATTATTTATTTAAACACACAATCATTGGTACAATGGGGCAGCAGATACATTTACGCCACTTAAATTATTCGATTTTTGTGAGGGCTGGGATACTTCCCGGGTGCCCAGACCGAAGCAGGTGGTTTTCTTAGGGGGCCACACCCCGAGCCTTTGACCTAAAGGTCTGACTCACAAAGCAGTGGAGCTTCGTGTGGAGATGCATTCTCATGGTAGCCGGTGACCAACGATTGGTTCATACGCCATTTGTTCCCTCAGAATACTGGAGCCCATGTGCACCAGTGGTTTGGGATCCGGTTAAAGCGCCAGACATTCACTTTTCGTCCTCTCATTTTCGTAAACAACGCTTCCGCCACGAGAAGGTAATGAGTAGGACTTCCCTGGTAGAGGCTGTACACGTGTGGCCGTGTGAGAGCATTTCGCGAAAGAGTTGACTCTCCACTCTCGTCTGTACCAGAGCATTTGGGGGCTTTGCAACTATAGTACAGCAGTGAATAGTTATGAGTTTAAACTAGTATATACATATTCTTGTTTTCAATTACGCTTTCTTATTTTGTCTCTATCGTGAAAGTACCCTTGCGTCGCAATGTCATACAGTTTTGTAAGTTCTTTTTCGTTGACGGATAAGAATAAGAACCGAGTTGTTAATGCTCCTGTAGGTTTTGAAAACAAAGTTCTTACTTCGTATGCACTCGTAAAACCTGCACTTCTGAAGTTCTCTTTTATAGATGAAGTGTCAGGTAGAGTAAAATGACTGGCAGCTTCAGGTGTCGTGACGTATGACAATAAATAGCGCATAGACATTTTAGGGTTATCATTTATTAACCAAGTCAACATGGCCATCTGCAATGAATTTTGTTGGCCTACAAACCTGCTCCCTATGTCTTGCTTCTGAAGACATGAGTTGAACGTTTCCCGTTCCTCTTCGGATGACAAAGGGGACTGCAAACTTGATAGTCGGAAGTCAAATTGCCGCAAATGTTCACGCCCACCAGACTTCGATATTATCAGCACAACGTTGGTACTCAAGTCTGAAACAACAGACCATATGTTCTTCAGTACATAATACAGTCTATGAAATCTTAAGCACTTAGCTCAGTTGGGCATTTGACTTACTCGGCCGGTAACGCACTTCTCACACGCCTAGACTTGTATGTTGAGGGTTACGTATCCAACTATTTTATTAAGATATATGTAGTAGACACGCCTACTTACCAATTGGTGAGACAACCGAAATTTAGGATATTAGATCTGGATGTTTCTAGCCTGCATCTCGGCCACATCCATGTCAACGAAATTATACAGAAACCCTTCGTTCCTTTTCAATGCACCTCTACGAAATGTTAGATTACTGTACTGACCTCTTCAACTTCTCATTGTTTAGTGGCAGTGTTTACGTCTGTAGAACTGTTGACACAGTAAACATCCAATTTGTTGAACGAAGCCAACAAATCCTTTGCGGTTTGGGAACTATCTATAGGAAATGGTCGTTTCTATGTTTGTACCTCACCGCATTCGTGAATGACCTTACACTTCATGACTGACCAGGTGTCATCTGATTGGGCACTGTTTTGTAGGTGCATATTAAAAAGGACCGTAGGATAGAGACAAGGTCCTTTTCCCACAATTCACTGTTTTGCTGCAATCAGAACCTGCCTTCCACTTAGTAAGTCTATAATTACGTACTGCTTGTTGGTCGGCTAAATAGGAAATTGTTTAAAGTAATACCGTCAGCAAAAATTAAAAATAGCACATAAACCTATGTAGCAATGGAACAATCACTAAATTATTAACACAAGAGCAATACATTTACAGTCAGTATCCTTAAAGGAAACCTATGTGTGCTCATGACTAACTACAGAGCACATAAATATTCCTGTCACTAAAATGGAAGGGTTCTTCGAAGTAATTCCGTGGGTCTGTAAGTGATCTAAATGTAATTAGTCCATTTTCTCCTACATCGATTGCAATGCCACGCTTTGGTGTACTAGAATAACATCTGGCTTAAATGAAGTTATTTTTGTATTCTTAAGCGTAATTACCTGTTTCCCTGAGTGTGCCTTAACGATTGTTTGTATAGTATAGTATATAGTCAATGTGCTAGCTTGAAGCCTATCACAGAAAGATATCTCCGCGTAATGCTGAGCTGCTTGCTTGGCTGCATCATACCCGCCATGTACCGATTTCTTAATCTGTCTCATATAAGACTCGAATGGGAAGGCGAAAAAGAATCTAAAGGTCCACGTGAACGAAAGTTCAGCAAACCAATTCTGATAGAATCCGTAACGCTGTTATGTAGTCTTGAATGCGCTAACGAATAAGTCGCTAATACTGAACGCTTGAAATTAAGGTACAAGTTTTGTCGTAAACTTTGTTGAAGAATTATGCCGCCAAAGTACGGAAGGAACAGTAGACACTGTCGCTTTCTATACTGAGACGAAGTCTAATGTGCGACATTTATATTGAAAGTCAGAAGGAGTACTTGCTACGCAACTTGATGTTAACTTGTATCCCTAATTACATACTTGTTTATGTTTCTTAGTCTTTTGTGAGAAAATTCTATCTATTTATTGATTTTTTTTCATCTCAACCACAAATCCTCATTATCTCCTCCTGCCAGTCGAAAAAGCAGGCATTCTGGTGCATTTCCCTATTATTTCCCCTTTATCTTCCAACACATTTTCCCTTTTGTTCTTTATTTCACCTTTATGGGTTGCTCTGGATGTACTTCCAGGTTTATGCATTTAAGGAGACTCGTCAAACGAGGTGTTTTGAATGTACGCAACTACATATTTGTAGTTATCATATTCATTGAGATAGAGATTGATAAATGAAGGGAACCATAGTTTATGAGTCTTTTTATCATTAATCTAAACGGTGTAGAAAGGCATGAGATAGTTAAATGTGTTTCATATAACAATCTTAAAGTATGGTATTAGATGACATTGGCTTCAACATTTGCAGTAGTGGGGATAAATCCATTCTTTGCCAGTCTTGAGAATAGCATTATCTTATGTAGGGTATCCACTTATTGATAATGGAGTTTGATTTTAAAATCACTAGGTTACAGGATCAACTCTTGGTACGTTTTAGGATTAGGTATATCCCTCATACAAGACGTTTTACTCGAAATCGAGAACGCGAGTCCTTACTAGGTTTTTATTCTTGGAAGTCACTCATTTCTTTTTCTCTCGACTCCTACGTGGTTCCTCGTTACTTTTGCTCTGGTACGGCCGAGAGTGGAGAGAGTCCGCTCTCCCTCTCGAAATACTCTCACACGGCCACGCGTATATAGCCTCTGCCAGAGAAGTCCTACTCATTACCTTCTCGTGGCGGGGGTGTTGTTTACGAAAATGAGAGGACGAAAAGCGAATGTCTGGCGCTTTAACCGGATCCCAAACCACTGGTGCACATGGGCTCCAGCATCCTGAGGGAACAAATGGCGTATGAACCAATCGTTCGTCACTGGCTACCATGGGACTGCATCTCCTTACGATGCTCCACTGCTTTGTGGGTTAGACCTTTAGGTCAACGGCTCGGGGTGTGGCCCCCTAAGAAAACCACCTGCTTCGGTCTGGGAACCCGGGCAGTATCGCAGCCCACACACAAATGATGAACTCTCTATATCTATGGAAACTACTTTTCTCGCTTCGAATAACAATCAAGTGATTCAAATGATTATTATTACTATTATTGTTATTATTATTTACCACATTATTCATCATCTTTTATACTTATACAGCGGCTCGTCTTTGGTGGAAATTCGACTGTATCTAAACGTTCTCGAGTCACTGTCCGGTTGAAAATTGTATGTTACCACCGATTACGAGAACTGAAGCAGTTTTCCTGAAACCACGTGCACCATTCAAACTGGCTGCCTTCAACGTTCGCACACTAGTGCAGGTCGGACAACAGATAGGGCTGGCTATGTCTTTGGAAAGTCTTATTATTGATGTTTGTTGTCTATCCGAGACCCGTATTCAAGACTGGCGAAGTACTACAAATTCGATCTCCATCTGTCGCTTCGAAAAGCTTGTTTTACGTGCGCTTATCCGGGGACCCTGTGGCACCTTCGTTTGGTCTTGCTGGCGTTGGTGTCGCACTAAGCGCTAGAGCTGAGGCAGCACTAGTTGATTGGATCCCCATTAACAGTCGATTGTGTGCTGTTAGATTAGAGACTTCCATCAAAGTGAGAAGAAATCGGCGTGAGAAACGATGTCTTTTCGTCATCTCCGCCTATGCCCCGACAGATTGCAGCCCGGATGCAATCAAGGATGAGTTTTACCACCAGTTATCTGTTCTTCTCCAGAAAGTGCGCTCGACAGATATTGTAGTACTAGCCGGAGACTTGAATTCTCAGGCCGGGCGTCTAGGCACAGAAGAGAGTCGTTTAGGTGGCCGATGGGGACTCGTTGGTCGCAGGTCAGATAACGGGGACCGTCTACTGCAACTGTGCACAGACCACAACCTGTTTCTGGCTAGCACTAAGTTTCGGCACATTCATCGCCGATGTGCCACCTGGCGTCCTCCCTCCCTCCCAAGCCTGGACTCAGATTGATCACATCGCGATCAGCTTCCGCCGGCGTGGTTGTGTAAAAGACTGCCGCTCCATTTGGAGTACCTATCTGGACTCTGACCATGCCTTGGTCTGCGCCAATCTTGCCTTACTTTTCAGTGGACAACGAAGTGACCGCCATCAAAGGATTGATATTAGCAAGCTGGTTGCAACTTCTGTTGCAAATAAGTATCGAACCGGGTTAGCCTCTAGGCTAGCTACCACTCCACCGAGAAGTATAGATGAGCATTGGTTGCAATTGCTTGACGCCATGAAAATGGCGGGAACAGTCAGTTGTGGGTTTGCGAAACGTCCCGCTTTTAAGCACTGGGTTTCTTCTGGTTCCTTACAACTCATTGAAGCCCGTCGGTCTACTCCGGGTGACCGTGAGTTTGACCATAAATGAAGGATGTTACGTAGGGAAATTGGGCAAAGCTTGCGTAAGGACCGAGAAGCCTGGTGGTCGGAGCGTGTTAATGAGCTGGAAGCAGCAGCTGCATCTGGTAATTACCGGAAGCTCTTCCAACTCATCCGAGCCACTGGCAGCAAGAAGTCTGGTGTGAGCGAAACAATCTGCGAGGATGATGGGATGCCAATCACTAACATCCATCGACGTCTTGGACGATGGGCAGAATCCTTCGAAGAACAGTTCAACTGGCCTGCTGCTCCGGCAACATCGGTCAGACTGTCCTGCCCTCCATGGCCGGTGACGACTGATCCACCAAACGAGGAGGAAGTCCGCAACGAACTCCAACTCTTGAAGCGTTACAAATCACCTGGCCCAGATGACTTACCTCCGGCTCTTTTTAAAGATGGTGGTGACTTTTTGACTAAGGAATTGACGACGTTGTTTACAAAGGTTTGGGAATTAGAGAGTGTGCCAACGTCATGGAATGAGTCGATAGTTGTCCCTATCTTTAAAAAGGGTTCACGTCGTTCCCGCAACAACTATCGGGGGATAAGTCTACTTCCGATTGCGTCCAAGCTATTGGCTTCCGTCATACTTCGTAGGTTGTTCAAAACCCGAGAAAGATTGACTCGCGAGGAGCAGGCTGGGCTTCGTTCTGGTCGAGGATGTATTGATCATATCTTCACCCTCCGCCAAATGTTAGAACACCGTCATACTTATCAAAGGCCAACATCGTAGTGTTTCTTGACATCAGGGCTGCCTTCGATTCGTTGGACAGGACTGTTCTCTGGGATTGTCTATTGAAGAAGAGTGTGCCTGAGAAGTTTATTAACATCCTAAAAGCCCTATATAAAAACACCTCAGGCAGAGTGAGGGCATACAACCACCTCTCTCCATTGTTCCATTCGAGCAGTGGGGTTAGGCAGGGTTGCCCAATCTCACCATTGCTCTTCAACTTTGCTATCGATGACATTCTGGAAACAGCTCTGATGAATGTAAGTATTGGTGGTGTGGATCTGTTGCCTGGAGAAAGACTTCTCAACCTTGAGTATGCGGACGATATTGTCTTACTGTGCGATAATGCCCAAGGCATGCAATCCGCGCTTAATCAGTTGGCAATGGGTGTCTGTAAGTATGGTATGTGCTTTGCACCTTCGAAGTGCAAAGTACTTCTACAAGACTGGAAGGATTCTAATCCTGTACTCACCCTGGATGGTGAGCAGATAGAAGTAGTCGAGAAGTTCGTGTATCTGGGTAGCTGCATAAGTGCTGGTGTGAGTGATGAGATCAATGCACGTATAGTGAAAGCCAGAGTGGCTTATGCCAATCTGGCCATCTTTGGCGCCTTCGTGATGTTAGTCTGGCTGTAAAAGGTCGGATCTACAACGCGTCGGTGAGAGCAGTCTCACTCTATGCTTGTGAAACCTGGCCTCTCCGAGTTGAGGATGTTAGACGACTCTCTGTGTTCGATCATCGCTGTCTCCGAAGGATTGCTGATATTCAGTGGCAACACCATGTCAGTAATGCAGAGGTTCGGCATCGTGTGTTTGGGCACAGAGATGATAATTCAATTGGTGTCACCATCTTGAAACACCGACTTCAGTGGCTTGGACATGTTCTACGAATGTCGTCCCAGATAATTCCACGTCGTGCATTATTTGCCGACTCTGGGACTGGCTGGAAAAAGCGGAGAGGTGGTCAGTGCATGACATGGTGTCGTGGTATGAAAGAAAGCTGCAAAGGACTGGCTTGTGTTGGTCCTTCACGACTCCCTGGTTGGGTTCTGAGAGATGGTGCTACACAGTGGCTAGAGACGTTATCAGATATGGCTCAGAATAGAAGCCAGTGGCGATCGTGCTGTAACCTTCTTTTACTTTCTTCATAAAATGTGGTTGTGTCTCCCTTACTTGAAAGATTTCTTCTGATTGTACCTTTCCGTTCCCTCGTTACTACCAGACTACCTTACACCAATCTCTTCGTTATTGGTCTCTTTTTCTTTTGCGCTCCTTAGTTTTTTTTTCTATCTCTCTTCGAATTTTCATTGTTTTGTGTGGCGCATATATATTGGCGCTCTCTTGTACCAATATTTATGTGTTCAAATAAATAAATAATTATGTTGAAACACCGACTTCGGTGGCTTGGACATGTTCTACGAATGTCGTCCCAGATAATTCCACGTCGTGCATTATTTGCTGACTCTGGGTCTGGCTGGAAAAAGCGGAGAGGTCGTCAGTGCATGACATGGTGTCGTGGTATGAAAGAAAGCTGCAAAGGACTGACTTCTGTCGGTCCTTCACGACTCCCTGGTTGGAGTCCGAGAGATTATGCTACACAGTGGCTAGAGACGTTATCAGATATGGCTCAGAATAGAAGCCAGTGGCGATCGTGCTGTAATCTTCTTTTACTTTCTTCATGAAAAGTGGTTGTGTTTCCCTTAACTGAAAGATTTCTTCTGATTGTACCTTTCCGTTCCCTCATTATTATTATTACTACACTACCTTACACCAACCTCTTCATTATTGTTCTCTTTTTCTCACGCTCCTTACCTTTTTTTCTTTCTCTTCGAATTCTCATTGTTTTATGTGGCGCATATATATTGGCGCTCTCTTGTACCAATATTTATGTGTTCAAATAAAATTGCTTTTTGTTTACATCTCATATCCTTGATCGTAAGCTTGAATGACGTTTGACAACTTGGACCGATACACATTCGTACTAGATTTCACATTATTTGTCTACCTTGTTCGTACTTACTCTTTGGCTTTATTGTCAAGAGATTTAATCACGAATGCATAATTTTGATCTTTAATCAATTTTCACTGGAATTGATGTTATGTGGTTGGATATTACCAATAAGCAACCTTAAACCAATATTCTCTTAGGATGTATGAACTTAGAATGATACGCACGCCAGACCCTACATCGTGAGGGTAAATTCTCGTCTGTCATGAGTTTTAACAGTAGGTCGGCTGTGCTCTGTGGGGGAGTATACAGCTGCAAAAAACAAAGTTTCCATTATTCTTCTCACATTCTGTCTACAAGTGAAATGCGCAAAAGAAACACAAAGTATTTTTTTAAGAAATCAAATTCTGTAAGTTCATTTGGTTTACTACTTGTTTGCATATGTCTAGAAGTACATTGTTTTTGTTCTGCATTATTTTCTCATGATATTTACTTCGTACAATGTACTAAAAACCTTGTTTTACTAACCCAACAAATTTTATACTCCCAATGCACACGAATTCCGTGTTGTAAAGTGAAATCTATTCTTAACATTTCAGATATCTATGAAAAAGACGGCACGTGATGAGGTAGATTGTAAATCTAGGACTCGTAGACATTCAAAGAAATCAAAGTCGACTGATTGTTCTTCCACAAAGGCGTCAGGAATTAATATCGGTTTAGACAAGTCAAATCAAACCTGCAGCGTTAAGAAGGAATATTCCAAGAATGAAAAGCTTAGTCGTAAATCAAAAAAGAGGGTAAGTATTTTTGGTATAGCTAATGCTTTTGTTCAGATCTTACAAAAATCTATTTCTGAGACCAAAGGTAAAAATCAAATCTTTGTTTAAAGTAATGCTTATAATTAAACTTTGACGTGATATATTTTTGTTGTAGATTGAGTGACATTTTCACTTCAGAGTTATCCTATAAGTGTATTCGACAAGTGCTTTGCCAATAAATATTCTATTTGGCATCAAATAGTTTTATGTAACTCAACATATGCAGTAAAATAAACTCGAAATTATATTCGGAACCTGAGATCTGTTAAGAATACCTTATTACTTTCATAATAATACAGCCGCCGTAGTATTTTAAGCTTAACAAGTGACAAATAGGGATGTTTTAATATGTATTAACAAAAAATCTTAAAAGCAGTGTACCGTATAACCTTCGTTAATACATTAAAGGGGAGACGAGTTTTTAAAAAAAATTATTGAAAGTTATTAAAGGAAGAAACGTTGAATGTAAGCAATAGTACGGATTAATTTTAAAACTGTAATGAGTCAAACCTCTTAAGTGAGCCTCCACAAAGCTTCCTGAATTGTAGTTTCTTTTTTTTCTGTGGATGCTACAACCTATGGCGAAGGCGAGATATCCGTCTACCAATTAAGGGACGAGTATACTGAGCAGTATTTCGTTCTGTTCTACTTTATGGCTGCGAAACGTGGCCATTAAGAGTGGAAGATACTTGTAAACTACTAGTATTTGATCACATGTGACTTAGAAATATTGCTGGGATCACCGGGTAAGTAATAGTGAGGTTAGATACAGGGTATTAGGGAATGATGGTAAATCAGTTGATGAGATTGTGAATCTTCATCGACTGAGATGGTTGGGCCACATGTTGCGTATGCCCGAACACTGATTACCACCACGCATAAGGCTGACTAGTGTTGGGGATGGTTGGAAGAAAGAGGCGACCAAACCAAAACGTGGTATCAGTCTTTAAAGTCACTAACTTCTAGTCTTAGCCATGTTGGTAGATGCAGACTACTACCAACGGTTGGAAACTGGGGTGACATGGCTCAGAATCGATCATAATGGTGTCGGTTTAACACTCTATGTCTTCCCTCGAACTATGAGATTCAAATTGTTTTATATCTTTCTGTCTACCAACTAATTCTTTCTTCCTGTATTATAACCTTATATGCAATCTTTCTTTTCTATATCACCACCATTGAATTAACTACTTCTATGAATCCGGTGTTCATCTTGTGCTAATGAGGTATGACAACTTGGACCGATGCATATATGTGGCTGGTCCTACGTTGTAGCTGGTTGAGGACTTAAAATTCCTCAAGATTTCTTACAAGACGTCTCCTTCCTTTTCCTGAATATTAGTATGATTATCTGGTAACAATAGAAATTCGTAATTGTAGGGTTTAGAAAGCTTTTGTTATAATTCATCATGATTCGCTACCTTGCTATATCTCGCCCCTGTAACAATCTCATTTCGTCTCTATATTTTAACTTTAATGTTTCTATTAACTAATTTTTTTCCCGAAATACTCTGTAGAATCCGTCCTTTTTGACAGAAGGTCGTCCGCTTTTATTCACTTGGATATTTAAAATTAATGTTCAAAATACTAATAGGTTTTATTGCATTAATTTGTTTCTGTGTTTTGTGTAAAATTTCTGTGTGTTAGTGTTACCTAGCCTTGCGTTAAGTTGTTTATAAGCTACACAGAAAAGCGTTTCAATAGAAATAATTTCTAGTCCTTGAGCTTATTTTAGCTGATCAACAAATAAAGAAAATTTTATCACTTCGTTTTTTTGCTTTCTTTTAAATAAAACTTTATAAACGCATGCGATTTTTTACGATTAAGAGCTAACACATGGGACACCAAAGTTGTTGCTTACCAGTCTACCATGCAGTGTCAGCCAAACCATTTTGAAGGATATTTTTCCATCAGTTATTCATTTGAATTTGCGTAATACCGCGGGTTCGAAGCACGCGCTTTTAGACTTTTCAAGTAATGACGATTACTTAGATGCTGTGAATCGTTTAGAATCAATTGAATTTGATGGTGTCAAAGTAAGTGTATATCATACATTTAGCATACTTTAAGTAATCTCGATTTTATTGTTTATTTTCTTCTGTCTATTGGTCACAATTTGTTTTGTGAGGTGTACTTACAAATAACTTTTTGTCACTTGTTATGTCTCTTATTTTCCAAGTTTCGCGCTCTTCGTTGTCGAATGGAATATGATGTCCAGAATAAAATTTTCGAACATGAATTTTAACTGTTGGGTCTCATGTCTAAATCTCACTCTTCATCCTTTTTAGTTTTGTCCATCTGTTAGTATTTATAGTCGTCGCACGAGTAATATGGTGCTTTTTATCTAGCGTTAAGTTTGTTACTATCATCAAAGCACTTCTTAAACACTGAGCACTTAAACTAAACATCTTCAGGACACCTTCAAATTGATCAAAGAAATCAAAATCCACAGTTTACAAAACATTTAAGCAATATATAGATCTTCATTTAATTAGTCATCAACAACCTAGGATCGGGAAAATATGTGACGGTTCAATACAAAATACTTAAACATAATAAAATTTAGTAAACAAAATGAAAAGGAGATAAAACTCATTATATCAATGGCGAGTAAATGATTCCATATAATTAGTTCCCTTCATAGACATTATTTTTGGTTTACAAAATGGATAATCATAACAATAGTAAAGTAAGCGCAAAAAATATAGTTTTAAAAAATCAAAGCTTCGGCAAAATGATGCTTGAAATATTTTAGCTTTCTAAACGAAGAACAAATACATCTACACTGCCTCGACCGATCTCAAACCATTTCACCAAAGTTCATCAGACATTGATGATTCTCACTATGAGGATACCGACGTAAATGTTCACCACTAATGACATAACTCGGTCTAACAGTAACTTCATGGAGTAATATCGTGGTTTGACTGCCTGTAACGTTTTTAGAGATCCTGAAGTGTCAGCGATGTTTGGATTCATGAATTTCAGTGCATGAGTTTATATTGTAAAACAATCGAGAGACAGTCGTACATGAGTAAAAATTTCATTTTTCAGATTAGGTAATGTTGTGCTCTTACCCTACCTTAGTACCTACGAATTTTTAACGAAATAAATGGTCATAAATCTCCTTTTACTTTTGTGTTTTGTTTTTATTCTTTGAAAGGAAAGTGTATTATATTTAAAGAATCACCAGAAAGTTTGAAGAATATTTCTGTGTTATACTTAACTTTCAAGCAAAGCTTATCCTTACAAATAATAATAGTCACGATAATATTAATGCAACTTGATAACCAAGTGCAAATTAATTTACTTAGCTTTGAACCACATTTATCTGGGAATTAGTGATACTAACCAACTGCCCAAACAAAAGTTTGGTTTAATCACTAAACTACCACTCTGATCGTATTCACAATCAACCATTGAACTAAATACTACCTTAGTCTTGCATCAAATATATGTCTAAATAGTCGCTGCACACGCTTCAATTTATTCATGTGCCCTTTTAAAAAATATTATTTGTTATCTAGCCAAATTATCGAGCCATCGTTGGATACACAGAAAATGTAATCCCGTCTAATCTGTCAAGACAATTTGTAACTAATAGTCCTAATTGTTTAATTATACGAAACTTGCCATACTCACTAACTGCAACTGAGATTAGAGAACATTTCCCCATGGCCAATCGTGTTCATTTAGGTGTAAATAAGTTTGGAATATTCAATGGGTAAGTACTATTTTTCTTTACCACTTTAAATGAAGTATAGTATTTGTTAGATATTACTTCATTGAATCATACATAAAATTACAACTATCAATATTATTAGATTGATCCCAAGATGTCCCATGATCGATGAGTATTTGATTTAGGTGGTCAAATACATGTGTATAGTTATTGAATCAAGTTCTGGATTTCAAGTAATCAATTAATTGAGTTATATTATTCATAAAATATGACCGTCGTATTTGCCGGTAAAGATGCAATTAGGACAAGATAACTAAGTATTACTTGTCTCTTTGGTGGGTTATTGTAGTAATAAATGGCGTTTATTCCTAGAATCCATTACTGTGAACGATAAACGTAGACAACTTTTTCACCTTTATTGTAGCTCAATGTTAAATAGAAAGAAATAGATTAAACACTCATTAAATGGTTTATTGAACTCATCGAAGAAGAATCAAGCGAACTCTAGTGAACGTGAGTATATATACAATGTCTTCGATAATAATGCCAAAAAAAATAGTATACTACAACATGTACAAGCCAATCACATCGAACCGAAAGCCTCCAGCTGCCACGAAAAGCACAATGCCCTTAGACTATTTGGTCGCCATCCAACTGTTTAGATTCTCAGCTTTAGTTAGTTTGTCGTAATATCAGGGTTTCGGCTGTGAACTGCCCCACTTCTGATGTAGTTGACATTAGAGTTTATGACTTCTCACTAGAGCTATAGGAAACTCGTGAGAACTGATCACTAGTGTAAGTATACGCTTATCACTTTTCAGCACGTTTTTGTGGAGAATTCATAGAATTTAATCTGATGGCATTGGTTTCACTCGCTGTCTGAGTTATTTCTTGCCTACTGCTCAAGTCTCAAACTAAAATGAACCAGTTTTACAATGCTCTGGTTTCAACAGTTCTCCAGCTTTTCGTGTTAGCTCATAATAAAATTCATCTTGAGTTCAAATATTATAACTGATTATCCTACTTCAAACTTCGATCTATCATATTCATTGTTTCATTAACTTTTTTTTAGTTCATGTATATTAGAAATGAAGAATAAGGAAGATCTTCAAATTGTTATAAATGAATGCAAACATAAGTATATTAATAATCGACTGGTTAGAGCGAATCTACAATGTAAATCCAAATCGGAATCGTCCAAACCTCCCGATGCAAGTATGAGTTATGGTTTGAAACTTAAAGAAGTGCCCAATGTGATTGAAGATGATCGAATTAAAGCATTATTTCCCGAAACAACTTTGACTGGATTAAGCTCGGCACCACTTAAAGATTCCAATACTAGGTAGGTGGCTTTTGTCTAAACAACTTGAAAATTCGTCTGAAAATAAAAAAAAATACTTTTTTAAAAATCGCGAGACAACGGATCATCATCGAACAATCACTTGAGTTGAGCTCGTTACTATACATCAACTTCATTAACTATGAGAAGGCGTTTGACAGTGTGGGTAGGAGGACCTTATGGAAACTTCTTCGACACTGCGGTGTACCTTAGAAGATCGTCAACATCATACGTAATTCATACAACGGACTACAGTGGAGAGTAGTGCATGAAGGACAGCTGAGAGATGCATTCCAAGTAAGAACCGGAGTCATATAAGGCTGCTTACTCTCCCCTTTTCTTCATCTTCTAGTAATTGGCTGGATTATCAAGGCCTCCACACCTGAGGGGAAGCACGAAATACAATGAACAGCTTAGAATCAATTAGACGATTTGAACTTGGCCATCCTATCCCATACACACGAACAAATGCAGATGAAGAAAACTAGTGTAGCAGCAGCCACTGCATCAGTAGGCCTCAACATACACAAGGGAAATGACAAAACCCCCAAACACAACATGAAAAACACCAAGCCAATCACATTTGATGGAGAATGTGGAAGATGTGGAAACTTTCACGTACCTGGGTGGCATCAATACACAAGGAGCATCTGATGCGGATATGAAGGCAAGGATTGACAAAGCAAGGGCTACATTCTTACAACTGAAGAACATATGGAACTCAAAACAACTGTCAACCAATACAAAAGTCAGAATCTTCAATACGAACATCAAGTCAGCTCTACCGGACGGAGCTGAAACTTGGAGAACTACCAAAACCATGATCAAAAAGTACAATTATTTCTAAACAATTGTTTACGTAAGACGCAGAATGTCCATTAACCGGATACCATCAGCAACAGCCTCCTGTGGGAGAGAACAACCAAGCTCGGGAAGTGGAAAAGTTATAAATTGTGAAAATCAACAAACTGCATCACGAGGTAAGCACTAACTTGAAATACTGAATGGAAAGAGGAAGACCAAAAAACGCACTTCATGGGGAATCGGAAGTGTACGTGAAAAGAATAAATAACAAATAAAAAGAACTTGAAAGGAATACTCTAGATAGGGTTGAATGGAGAGTGCTAGTTGGCGTCCTATGCTCCTCCACGAGGAGTAACGGGCGTAAGTAAGTTAGTGTATTTACAAAACATTTGAAACCACCCAATCCAGTTGTTTACACCTCATACATCGCTTCGATGCCGTAAAGCTGACGTGGTGTCAAAGAAACTATAGCATCAAGACACTTTTTCGAGTTACTTTCTTATTTCTACTTTGTGCAGAGTCAAAAGTCTAAGTTGATTCTAAATAGATTTGCAAAGTTGTTTTTTTTGTTTCTAAACTAAGTGGAAAAGGGTTTTTCGTGTTGCTGTACATGGCACCGGAAAGTCCTTGAAAACCCATTATTCGAGTGCTACTACAACGGCTTTTCCACAATTGCATCTCAGTCAAGTATTGATTTTCACCCGGTCATACACTTAAAACAGACCAGTGATTTAGTTTAATATGAAATAACGTTCAGCGTTCTTTTTCCATAATTTACGGTCCCGCTGAAACATACAGTTAAGTAAATGGAAATGAAACAGGCAACACCGTAGCTACACAACAATGTTTGAGTAATGTGCCAAGTCCTGCGATTACCTTGTGTAGTTACGGCCAACTTGAAATCCTGAGGGGAGGCGGAGAAGAGGAAGGTCAAGGAACACACTGTGTCGGGAATCGGAAGCAGACATAGCAAGAATGAATGGCAACTGAGAAGGATTGCCTAGGACAGAATTGGATGGTGAATGCTGCTGGGCAGCGGCCTATGTTCAACCACGATGGCTAACAGGCGTAAGATTTGCAATAAGTGCTTCATTCATATGCGTCTGTCACTTGTAAATTTTACTAATTATGAGTAGTGTAGTTCTATGTTTTGGGCTTGTGTGGGGATTTTAATGTTGATTTAAGAGCCCAGAGTAGGATAAAGGTGAGTTTTTCATCGTTTATTTGTCTCTATTCATGTATTTATGGGGTTAATTCATTATCCGCATTGACTGGGAACCATACCATGGGACCTCCGAGATAAAAATGAAAGATCTAAATTGATTGTAACCCAGTAAAAAATATTTTCAGATGTAATTCTTTGAACCATGACATCAGTATGCGAATATGTTGTGTGTTGTTTTTTATTACTTTTTTAGCTGTAGAATAAATGTGTCCGTTTAATGTGTCAGTAGTTCTACCAGGATGCTTTATGCTTCTTGTAAGGAGTGTGCTAAAAAGCAAAGCCTAGGTATTAGTAATTTTACGTCGAATTTCATTGTATCAAATTCACAGTATTCATTCGAAGTACTCTTAAGTTGCGATTCTCATGTTTTCGATGTTGCTTGTAAGACGATGATTAGACTTATTTATCAGTTATTTATCGATAGATTTTGTTCATATATACTGTAAACAGTATTATTGGTTTATCGTTTTCCGTTCATGGCCACTGGGGAACTTCGTTACCAATTGGGTCTACGGTAGTAATTGTTATATTAAGCACAAAAATATGAAGAATTGTTCGGCTAAAACAGACAAGTTGTTTTCAGGTTCCTGGTCCATTGATCATTTTACTGTCTTCTTTTTTCGGGTACTTTGACACATCATTACACATATTGCAATTTAGTTGTCGTGTTACTTTTTATTAGTAGTGCCTTTGATTGGTTACGCAAAGCTGTACTGTGGAATTGTTTCTTACGGAAAACATCTTTTTAGAAGTTAACATGTTGAACATTCTGTAAATAAATACTTTAGCTCACTTGATGATATACAACTATCTATTTCCGTTGTTGAAGATCTGTAGTTAGGTTATTTAGGTTCCTCATCAATGCCTGAATAAATGTCCTATTCGTAAATATGAGGTTGAAGTGTTGGTCATAATTTACAATTATTTAATATCGTTATTCTTAATCCCCGTAAACCTATGTTTAGATACAGCATGAGAAAAGTAATTAGGAAATTTTAGTGAAAACTCAGTTTTACTACATATCTGCTAGTCTTCACTCAACATATACATTTTTCTTTACATAGAAATGTGTTCATCTTCTTCAAAAAGAGTGCTCAGCGTAAAGCGGCTTTTAAGATGTTCAAGAATGAAGTTATCATGGGTTATCCAATTTCCTGTCGATTATGGGGTACGAATGTAATTTAACTTGCTTTTTATCACAAAATTCTACTAAATAAAATACATTTACAGCTACACGAAAGTGGTTATTACTTTGGTACAATGCCAGAAAATATATCACGTGACATTACCATATACGCCCATATAATTAAACTCCCTCCACTCATGGGAATGAGGAATTACGCAAACACGTGTTTAGACGCGCTGATTCCTCGACGAGTGAGTGGCCTGCCAGTGGTAGGTAGGGAGTGGAGTATTGTGATGTTGAGTTTTCTGGTTTGTGTTGGTTATTGGTGAAATATCTTCTAGTGAGTGTGATCTTTGTATATGGATATGACGGTTTCCAAAGTTTGATGCTATTCGCCTCACAATCCACAAGCAAGCCGTCAGTATCCATCTTTTGTACTATCTCCATATAATCTCGTCTCCAATTGCCATAACAGTGAGGGAAATGGCAAATACACAAATGTTTTAGTGACAAACTGTTTACATTTAATTCGCCAATTAGTGTGAACTTATATCGCTCGTCATGTATACACGTTACAATCATACTTAACACATGATGAACGAATTCATTCAGGATGGAGAGAAACAGCAAAAACGTTTTTGATCGAAGTAATTACACTTTCCCTAAGTGCATTACAAAGCCTTTTCTCAATTTAGAATGCGTACACCCCTTAGATTTTAAGGAAACAATTGGCTTGTTGGATTTACTACTTGCCGAAAATTACATTGATACGTATGATTTTTTCAGTTATTTGAAAAACATCCAAAAAATTACATCTCATTAACGCCTTTATGATAGAGGAGTTGACAACACCAGGTAAAACCCTAATTCTGAAATTTATTACTAGCAATTACATTTCTGGCACCGTCCAAAAAACGTGTGGCCATAGTTGATTCATTTTATAGAGTCTGATGAAGAATTCATGCGTGCGGGTGCCGCAAAGTTTAATCTGAATATTCTATTCTTGCTGGTTAAGTGATGTTCTTTAAGAAATGTAATTGATTGTCGAAGAGTTGTTAATGTTCCAACGTTTACGTTTTTTAAATAGAATTGTACTTCGTATATGGATTTTCTATTCGTTCTTTGTAAATAATTTTTCTATCTTTATTTCTCTTAGTATCATTGGTTTTAGCGTTGTGTTATTTTCATTTATCGACTTTATGTCGTCTTAAAATGTGAAAACCTGAATCAATCCGATTGCATATATGATCTCGAAAGAGCGTTATGTTGACTTGATTTAGTCTTTTTAGCAAACTAAATTAACAACTCAATTAAGTCGAATGACGATGATATCCAGGATGACCGTTATACATGATCGCGCACCAATTGTCTGTTTTTCTGCTTGATAGTTGTTTAATAGCTTAAACTGAAACAAATTTGTGTTTTTTGGCACAGCTGAGATATAATTTGGAAATAAAATGACCATGACAATGTCAAATATATATTCACTTGGTCTCAGAGTGAACATCAACTCTGAGATGCATGTACATCCAGCTGAGGAGTCCCAAATAGGACGAAGACGTGCGTCCTGGATTCCACTGCTAGTCACTATCCATCTTTGCTTATAACGCTTGTGAATTAAGGCAGTTCCAAGGCAATACATACAGTATGCACATATGCCTATAAGAGACTGATCAACTGCAGTCCTTAACATCAATGGGAAGATTCAAGTAAACAATACAAATTGAGTTTAAACTTCATCCTATTGCACAAGCAAGTGGTTATCAGGACTCAGTAGCTAAGTGGATAGCGCGATGGTGTTTGAAGCGAATAGTACTGGGTTCGAGTCCCAGAGTGAACATTAACTCTGGAATGCAGTCGATTTTTCTACTTATTAAGCTGCTACTTTGCTGTTGGATGTTGTTACACATATTGAATATTTACTGACCAGTTAGTCAGTTTATTTATTTTCACCTTCGACCTTATTTAGCAACATTTCACTGCCTAGCATATGCATTAATTTAAAATATATTGTTATCACAGCTTAATTAAAATTTTCAAATTTCTACCCTTAGTTCCTACTAATCGAAGGCATAAATCACAAACAAAGAGTATAGAGGAAAAAGTGAACGATACAGTTTTAAATTATAGCTTACCCAAGTCAAGTAAGTAATGGGTTTTAATTCCTCCATTTACCGCCTTTATAAATAAATTTGACTCTGATGATACCAAGAGCATGGTAATGCAATAAATTGTCAGAACTTCACTATAATGGACTAATTTTGATTTTAATTGAAATGTGAGAAACAAATCAGAATATTCCACAGATTTCCATGATTTCAACATTATGTTTTTTTCCATTTAATTCACTTCAAACCTGGTACAACTGGACACCAAAAGTACGATGTGCTACACAGAATGTAGAAATAGCATGCCGAAGAAAGAAGTGAGAAAAGGGAGTATATCTCAAGAAAAGGAAATAAGTGAGAAGGCCACGGTGTATAATTGGAAATAAGGTTCAGTTAACAGTTCAACAGAGAAAGATTTCTCTCAGTTAGAAGTTCCATCCATTATTATCAAGAATAACAAAGGAAGCTGCAGTATGATATATATCAAGAATCATAAAGATTTTCGGTCTACTACAGGTGTGGATGTGATTTAATATTTGGTAGTAGGCGAGGACGTGATCAGTATGTCTACCTGCATGCTCCTCGTACCTATTTTTCACAAGTTTTGAACAGTCTTCAATTAATGACAGAAGTCAATAGTTTAGACCCTGCGGAAGTAGATTCGCTCCTCGATAATTGTAGGATAGATGAATATGAGATAGTTCCTTGTTCAATAAATTTTCGAATAAGTTCTTAAATATAGAATAAAAGAAAAAGCTATGGAAACTTTCATATATTTTTTGCTGCATCTTCAATTAACCTTATTAGTTTCACTCGAATTTATTCGAACTCAATTTTTATTTATTTATATGAATACATAGATATTGGTACAAGGGGACACCAGATACATATGCGCCACACAAATCTCATTTGATTTGTGTGAGGGCTGTGATACTTCCCGGGTGCCAAAACCAAAGCAGGTGGTTTTCTTAAGGAGCCACACCCGAAGCCTTTGACATATAGCTCTGATCCACAAGGCAGTGGAGCATCGTAATGCGATGCAGTCCCATGGTAGTCGATGATGACCAATAATTGGTCCATACGCCATTTGTTCCTTCAGGATACTGAAGCCCATTTGCACCATTGGTTTGGAATCAGGGTTCTCCAGCTAGCTCTTCTAAATGGATCCTCTATATCCACCAACTCACTTAAGGCACCGGACATTCGCTTTTCGTCCTTTCAATTTCGTAAACAGCACCCTCTCCACGAGAAGGCGATGAGTAGGACTTCTGTGGCAGAGGCTATATACGCGTGGCCATGTGAGAGCACTCGGCTGTACCAGAGCATTTGACTTGATGTACAAAAGTGGAAGATCAATGATTAATTTGTGGTTTTCCTTTTAGTCCTTTAGTAATAATTTGTTATGCGGAAAGTCAAATACTGTTTATAGTGTTTTGTACGTCCATTGAACCAAGAAACACGTTTGCTGACCTCCAGTGAGTGTTGTTGTGTTCTATAAATAGAAAGGTAGTTAGAATAAAACCACTAGAACTTTCAATTTTGATGCCTACTAATAGAAAAATTCCCCGAATATGTAGTCAAAAACAATCGCTAGCCTTATTAAAATCTCTTCATACTTAATCCACATTAAATTGAATTATATTACTAAACAGGCCATCTGCAAGGAGTAATAACTACCAGTCATAACGCAAATGATAGATCCCAAACAAAAATGCGAGGATTAAGGGAGGCGGGAAATTGGCAACCAAATAGCAAACAGGCTTATTACTAATAATATGTGCAGATGGTCGACAACATTGATTTAGATATTCGTAGTTCATGTTTAACGCATTTTATGATAATAATTGACTCAAGGTTAAATATCCTAAAAATACTTGATATTAATAGGTAAACGCCTACAAAACATAGTGCTGATTCAGTATTTCCTTCCATATGCCCTGATACCATACTAACCGCAATCAGGCAGAGGATGTGGTAGGTTCGAAGGATTAAAATATCAGCTAGGACCGGCAAACGGGATGAAATTCAGCAACGCGACAATAGAACAAGCTAAGCTATTCCACTGCGACCTATCTCTGTTGGCTAGAAGAAGACTAGATTCAGCCGGGGAAATATATAACTCCACAAGCAGCGCACAACTCACACAACACAAAAATGTCCTTAAAAACTTCACAAGGTAGCATACTAAACGGGGAACCCAACGAATGACGTTTAAGGGTCCTCCAGGTGGTAAACATAAACCGAACGTGAAAATGTACGTTTTTGGCGCGAGAACGAGAAATTCAAGTTCCCATAATGAAATTACAAAAATAATAAGTTCATCAATTGATTTCTGGAGATCTAGCATCTCCATAGTATGTAACAATCTAGCAAAAACAGAGCTTTTGTCCATTTTTAAATTATAATTGCACAGGCAAAGTGATTCAGGCTCATTAACTCAGCTACAATACCAATTGTCCAATAAGGTTATTTCGACTATGTATCGGCCTGATTCGAAATCAAAACCTCGTGGACCAGTAACTTAAAATAATCACGTCACTTATTTGGAGAGTAAATAAGTCCTTTGTGGACCCCCGGTGTGTATGTAAATGCTCATTTTTAACAACCACGAATTTTTAGTAAGATTTTTTAAATTTAATATAACTACAGATGAACTCAGTGAGAATGAAATAAAATGGAATATGGAAAAATGTAGGAATATGTCTTCATCCTTTCCCAAGAAGTTAGTATTTGAATCTGGTAAGTTGTTAATATTCCTTGTCATTGGTTTTTAAAAATTATTCACAAATGTATAATCTTTAAGTGTTGTAAATCACTGTCAAGTTAAAACTATTAAAAACATTTTTTTCGGATGTTTTATGCAAACACATTTTTTGTCTGAACACTAAAATTTATTTGTATTGATGGCAACAGTAATTTCTGTCTATTTTAATGTAATGAGATCTGCAGTAACTTGTTCAGTTGTGGTCATTTAATTAATAGGATCCTTTTTATTGATAATTCTTTTTTGGTAAGGAATGCATACCAATGCTCTGCTCTTTGAAGTACCATATTCCCTTTCCAATTAATGCTTTATATAGCTTTGGACACGAATTGATATTGCCCAAGAAAAATCTTTAAAAACTAGAGATCACTGGACGGTTGTTTTATCTGTGTAACTCTTCAATTGTTTGCAACCACAATTCGAGATGAAATCGGGCCCAAGACTTCTGCACATGGTGACCGGTGCGATACCTTCTAACTAATTAAATAAAAATCTAGTATATCTCACTTTCCGTTTTCATTAAATGGTCATTTGGTATGATAGTCATTCATCGGTTAGTAACTGTTCTACTCGTGAAATAATTGTCACCTCGTTAAAAACTATGGGATTTGGTCTGTGAATACCGTTTAAGTATTGGATTTGTGTAAGTTTGTGCACTACCGAATAACCTCTACAAAGTGTTACGTTTGTTGAGTGTTATTTTGTTCTTCATAATTCTATGGTTGATGTCTTAATATTATCGTTTTTAATTTCAGATGGTGAATAAACAGTGGAGACAGGAATTTTTCCAACACCTGTTTTACGGACGATTATAGTAGCGATACACTGAGGAAATTATGCTAGTTAGAGTAAAGAACAACCTGGTTATTTGTACAAAGTCACTTTGATTTAAAAAAGATAATTTTGAAAACCTTACGTATTTATTTTGACTTACCAAAGTATTCTCATCATCCTCATTAATGTTAGCTAACGGAAGTTCCGTCATCCTAGAATACTTTTTTCCTTATCTACATCTTAGTTTCATGTGCTTGCACAACTGTACTAAGTACATATAACCCTCATTTGGCTCTCTTACGAGTACCTGTCACTTGTGAATGCACGGATTGGTCAGAATGCATGGCCACCAAACGATTTACAAGATGCAATGCTTATGGAGAAGCTAAAATGAAAGCTTTTAATCTGCATTCTAATGAGAGCTGATAACTCAGTGTGTTATTGCTACTACTTTTATAGGGGGTTCACTTGTGGAAAAAGTGTAACCTTTTACTGATACATTTAGGTGCTGATTTCGTAATAACCAGAAATCTCATTTCAAACACCGGACAAAGAAACCTTACTCCGTTTCATGGTTTGTCCGTGTAAGAAAATCAATGCATTTGTATATTTACATGACTAGCAGCTCCTGGAAACTATTCGTTTTGTTGATTTCAGATCTTTTGAAGGGTCCTGAAGAAAAATGGTCAGTCCTACGCTTTTCGTAGTTTCTGGATACTTTGGGGGTATATTCGGTGATTTATGGTACCTTCCATATTTAGTGTTTCCGAGGAGATTTAACAACATTTTGGTTACTATACATGAACCACGAACAGTCAACAATGGAAGTGTTGCAGGTTTCCCACTTATTATAGATAGCTTGACACTTGAGTTATCATGGAATACTTGTCTTTTTTTAAGTCTTTTCCATCGCTACGGCTTTTCTAAACGGAAGTTGCTTTGCTTATAAATTACTCGTCCACTGACCGATCCCTGCATCCCCCTGTCCACTTGCGTATCTGTACCCTTTGATGATGGGAATTCGACAAATATGATTACTCCCCAAGGGCTTTGAGCAAGTTCCTAATGCGTCTTCATGACATATCCTCTGGATTTCTTAGAATCCAGTATTCGCTGTAGCTCTTGTGTTATGCGGTACAAAGTTCTCGCAAGAGTATTTTGGTTCTTCTGGTATCACTGAGTTTATATCAATATGGAGTAAGTCATACCTTCTGAGCAGTAAGTTCAATGTAATACCAGACTACGAAGAATGAAGTACCTGTGACCTAACTATCTACCTAGAAATTTTAGGCGGTACTCACGGTCGTTCTTGTTTCACAAATGTTTTCGGTATTTATAAACTGGCATGGGAAGTAAGCCAACTAATTCCAACCAAATATTAACGGGATATTTAGGGATCCCGTTTGAACAGCCTCGAAACTGAGACAATTGAAGATAAAAGAAAACGAAAATGTTTCAGTCACGATATTCTGTACTTTGTGATAATGCTTAGTTCATCGGATGGAAAGACACCGAGCCTCAATCGAATCGGCCTGTTATGTTGAATGACCACAACATCGGGAAACTGCTCACTTGATGTTGAGTTATGTTTCACCATCGGTTGAGGTCAAAATTAGACAATTTATCAATACACGACTGCCTGACTATGACTCATAATTATAGCATTTCTGCGGCCTATCTTTATAAATACACTTCTTTTCTTGTGAGATTTCAGTACGATATTAGTCACCACGTTAATGTGAGAATTAACTATTTAGTTAAGTTTTAGAACAGGTTTCAACAATAAACCTTACCGAAATGACCCGCTAAACTGATGGCATCGCTATTTTGGGAGGTCGAAAGTTAAGTGTAAGATAATATGTCTACACTTTCCAGTCCCAGTATTGATGTAGTTCTACGGTGGAGTCGAGACTTTCAATGTTATGTTCCTACTTTGTTTGCTGGCATTTGTTATTCTTCGCATTCATATCTGATGAGACTTCACATGTTTTTCGAGGACATTGAAGAAACTGGACTTCCTGGCCATCATGTTCGGGTGGATTAGAATGTTACCAGGAATCACATCCGAAGTTACTCACTTTACGTTTTAAAAAGGCGCAGCGTAGAAAAATCTTATTATACACCATGGTATGCATTTCCGCATCTTTTTTCTGATTAAAAGAGCGAGAAAAATCTAGTTTCATACCGATTTTTGTATATGTGTTTCGTATATTCATGTGAATATTTATAAGTTTTTCTATCCGCATACATTTTCGACGTAGATGTTACTATTGGCGTGCTAACCTACATTATACATTAAAGCTTTTCATTATGCACACCCACTAATCTCTTACAGTAGTTTATTCTTTCATCAATACACTTGTGAGATTTAGAAGCAAGATGATGTTGCTAGAGTAATAAACTTTACTTAAGTTTTCGAACTTCCCATCGTGTAACTACCTAATCCACAAGACCTTAAGTCATAGCTTCACTATTGTCTATGCTGACTCCCCCCTTTATTATACTACGTCTCATTGCTTACTAGTGGAATAGGATGATATGTACAAATACGAATGAGTTAAGGAGTGGTCGAGAGGCCGTCGAAATATCACTGTGGCTTAATCAAATCGACCAGTTTGCTGATCATTGCATGTCTAACAGTTTCGTGATCGCTGTCAAGTTCAAGGGAAGACAGCGCCATGAACAGTCACATGCGCGATGTTCCCACTCTGTTTATTATTATGTTTGAGTTATACGTTCATCCAACAACATAGCTTACCATGATGACAAATGGAAAATGTTAAACGTACTGTGATTACTACCGCGTGACTAAGCCGGCATGACCGAGACATGAACCTGTTTCCACGATGACCCTCATCGTACTATTTGTCAAGTATTCAACGGCCCATTCAAATCTATGAAGTTATGGTCTACTGAATTTGAAGTATGATTTGTAGAATTATGGTTTACTTCGTTTTTAGTACTACTACAAAAATAGACCTAATCCCAACATTGTAGATATGTCATGGTGTGATTACCTAATTTATGAGATCTTACGTGGAAGTCACAACATTACCCACACTGACTCGTCCTATCGCAATAGTCAGCGATATGATGTTTGGTGTTTCTATGGAATATATTTAGGTTGGAGATTGTGACGGCGGCTAACTAATATGTTAGGTTAATGTCCTCAATATCTGACTCCAATAAATAGTATCTCCGTAAACTGAGTATTTAAGGTAGGCTTAATCTCCTAGTCGAATTACGGATTTACTCGAGATTATTCAGAAGCCTGAACACCAGTTGTAGAGATAATTTATTGTTAATGAATAATAAAAGTCCACAAGCGTACGGTGAGCAATCACACGGTGAAGCCAAGTAAAAATGCGCATGGAAGATGGCTGGGAAGCCAACTTCCTTTCAAACCAGGCATTACTCAATATTTATAGGCAGACAAAATAAACAAAAGACATGGGATATGAAGTGTACACACATTTACGCTCATACAAAAACAATCAAGACTGCCAATCGAATAATTGATAAGGTCAAAATATGGCTCAAGTAAAATGAATTAAATAGGATGTCCGAAAGTTAGAATAAGGTATATGGGCTTGCCATAATAAGTAACACTACAAGATACAACAACATATTTAGCATGAATAGTAAAGATAAGTTACACAAGCATGATCATGCCTGCAAGACTCAATCATACCATCCGACTGAATGGTTCAAATGGTTGTGGACGGAATAGAAGAAGCTTTCGCTTAACAGGCTTCCGTGTCTAGTAGCAGGGGATCACCAAATCCTCCAGGCAGGAACCTAGGTATGTTAACAATAAAAGAGGAAATGTAATTGGTAAATCATAGTATGATACTGTCCTTGGTCCTTAAGAATAGGTCAAGTTGCCTCTTGAAGGACTCCTGAGAAGTCGCTTGGACTAGCTCGGCCGGCAGCGAATTCCAGCTTTTGACAACTCTTAAGGAGTAGAAGTTGTGTCTACATCCCGTCTTGCTATATTGAGTTTCCAGTTTCTGGGTGTTACCCCTTAGGTTAGTATTCGAACTAAGCTTGAGTAGGTGTTTAAGAGGATGTCCAGAAGTGTTAAGAATACTATAAGCCATTAATAAATCACCTCTAAGATGCCTATACTGTAATGGGTAAAGGTCTAGTGAATGGAGGCGTTCTTCGTAAGGATTAGATTTGAGTCCGCGAACTGATTTCGTGGCTCGCCGTTGGATACGCTCCAAAGTGATCTTGTCCTTTTGGAGTGAGGGGGGAGTACTATTTTTCCGTACTCTAAATGGGGACGGATAAAACTATTGAAGATTGTATGGAAAGTTCTTCCGTCAAACTGGCCAAAAATGCGCTTCAATGTTACCAGTGCAAGGTTTGCTCGGAAGGCATTTTTGTCACAATTAGCGTAAGACTTTAAATCATGGGGCACCAGGACTCCTAAATCTTTTTCGACTTGGGATACTACTAGAGAGGAATTTCTTAAGTTATAACTGTAGTCTGCGACATGTCGCAGATGGACTACTTTACACTTTGAAGTGTTAAACGTAAGTCCGTTATCGTCTGCCCAACTTTGAAGTCGAGTCAGATCCTCCTGAAGTGCCTGTGTATCGTCTTGCTTGCGTATCTCTCTCCAAAGTTTCACGTCATCGGCAAAAAGTAGTAAGTCTGACGTTACCTGTTGAGGAAGATCGTTTATGTAGATCAAGAAGAGGAGAGGCCCTAATACTGAGCCCCGGGGGACTCCACTAGGAAATTCCATCGCCTGAGATAAGGTGAAATTAACCCTAACCTTAAAGTGTCGATTTTCTAGGTATGAAGTAAGCCAGTCGATTAGAGGTGGTTTGATACCTAGTCGTTTGAGCTTATTGATAAGACACAAGTGGTTAACTTTATCAAAAGCTTTTGAGAAGTCAAGGTATATGATATCAACCTTTCCCTTGCGATCGAGGATGCTTGTCCATCTGTCCACCGCAGTCAGCAGGTTGGTTATACAAGAGT